GGCGCCTTAGCCGGTTGAGCTATAGGCGCCGAGCCTCAACACATTTTTAAAAAGGACATGAATACAGATTGACAATCAAATGATATTTATTGAACACCTACTATATGCTATGAAGCACTGGGTGTTCAAAAGTAGAACTAATGGTCTCTGGACTCAGCTTGCTAAGAATCACTAAAAAAAAAAGCGATCCTTCACTTTATTATTGGTGATGATTGTAATTCTTGTTAGCTGGTGAGGGTCCTAATAAAGAGAACCGTTGAAGGGAAAAGAGGGTTTGTTAGCTCATTTGTCCCACACGAAGCCCCTCCCTCCTCCTCATGCTAAGATTGATCCTCTGAGGCAGGTGTCCTCAAACTACAGCCTGTGGGCTGCATGCGGCCCGCCTAGGACATTTATCCTGCCCGCTGAGTGTTTTTGCCGCCACTGCTTGTCCTGCTTAGCAGCTGACTTGTCCTGGGGCCCACAGTCCGGCCCTCCAACGGTCTGACGGACAGTGAACTGGCCCCCTGTTTAAAAAGTTTGAGGACCTCTGCTCCGAGGCCTCAGTTTTCACTAGGGCAGCAGGGGAGAGCCAAGGAAGGAGATGCGGATCTGTCCTTGGTCCTGACTAGACTTTTTAACAGGTTGGGGAAGGGAGATGTGACCGTGGGTTAAAATGAAACGCAAAAAGAAGTCAAGGATTAGAGGAACCTCTGGCACAATCACAGAGCTCAGCTGCCAACCGTGAAACGTGCAGCCTTTGTCCTGACTCCTGCTCTGGAGCTGCTTTCAGCCTGTGTGGAACATGGGAGGAGGACCTGAGAACGTCAGCATGTTTTGGTGTCACGTCTGGTGGTCTGGTGCGGTGTCACGCCGGCAGCTCCATCGCAGCTGCCCCCTGTCCTTGGTTCCTTCTCTCACTCTAGGTCACCCAGTCTCTTTGCCTCTCCCCGTACTGTCCCCACCTGCCAGTGTCAAAAAGAAAGCTGAGACTACCTGCATTTTGCTCCAGTGAAATCTATGTCCCCATCCCAAACAAAACATCTAGGTCTACATTAGTTACCTCTGCTCATTAAAGACTAACATTATTTCAAGAATTTGGAGGTTTTCTTTTTTAAAAATCGCTAGATGACTATTGTGATTAGCAATTAAAATTACATACCAGAAGAACTTCACGGGGCTCTAGTCGAATGGTAATAAGTACGCACAGCTTTCTCTATTAGGAAAGGACACAGAGAGTTTTGCCAGTTATCCTGGATGTTAGAAGCTCTCTTTCAGCTGGCCTTAAACTGCCAGCCACCAGGGGACCCTCAAGGAGCTGCTAAGGTACAAGGGAAAGAGAAGGTCACTAGCTGTGTGACCTTGGGCAAGTCATTAGATTTCTATTAGTTTGTCCTCTGAAAAGTGGAAATCATACAATTTACTGTGCATATTTGAAAGGAAATCAGC